TTTAGGAATTAGGGTTTAGGGTTGTCGTAGGCTTCTAGACGGAGAGTAGCTTTTGTTTTTTTTTATGAGGATTTTCATATGGGTAGTTCTCTAAATCAGGGTCCCTTTTTGGGTCCCCAATATAGTACGGCACCCTTATAAAAGGACCTAAACCCTAAACCCTAAACCCTAAACCCAAAACCCTAAACCCTAAACCCTAATTGAGAAAACTACCCATACAACCCAGCCTTTAGGTTTAGGGTTTAGGGTTTAGGGTTGACTGGACACTACTTGCGAGGGTGAGTATACACCTTAATTATACCTTAAATTATAGGGGCCTTAATATTATGATTTAAGGTATATTCCTCAATTAGGGGGTATTGGGACGAACAACTCCACTAAATTCATGTAGGCAGTTTTATTTCGCCCATTGCAGGTTCTCAACCCTAAACTCTACACCCTGAGCCCTATGAGTCCCTAAGTCTAAGTATGTTGGCTTCAGCAATCCCAGGAACCAGGAGCGACCCACATCGTCGTGGCCATCTTCTGCTTATGCATAGTTGGGAGTTTCCGAAAATAGGGGACCCTAATCTAGTACCCTAAATAGTAGGACCCTTATCATAAGGACCCCAAAACAAGGTACCCTAATTTTTGGAAACTCCCAGTTAATCAGGGCTCAGTCCAAGTGCTTGACACCTCCTTCACCTTCAGGACAGGGTTTTTCAGTAGGCTCACTAGGGCACCGGGCTGGCCTGCTTGGATCTTGAGAACTTCGGATTCACGTCGCATCCCAGCTTGGTCATATTTCTCGGGCTAGGGCTCAGGAGTTTGGTTCATCTTGGCTGCAGCGAACTCGTGATCGACCGCATTCAGTCGTTTTCGGTTCAAGTTGGCGTCGGCTTGTCCTTATGCAGGAACAAGACGAAAGTGAGGCATCTGCGGATGCTTATGTACAGAAAACAATCATGTTGCAGCCTCTGGACTCATTGTGCTCAGAGAGCGACAGTCATGCTTCTTCACTGGCGCAGCTCGAGAAATCCGTTCACTTCTTGATCGCAGTGGAAGAAGTCTGCAGCCGACTGGCTTTCGAATTGCAATGTGCTCGTGCAGGCTTGCGCCATGTACTAACCTGTGAGACTTATACCGACTTCATCCGGGTCATGGACGATTTTCAGACCCAGGACGGTGGTTTCGGGCACCTAGTTGTCATTCTTGGTCAGCCGTCATGGCTCTCCTTGATGCGAAGCTTCGTCACCTGCTCTCGTCCCTTCCGTGTGATCGATGCGTCCATGGAAGGTGTGGGTCCCTAAACCCTAAACCCTTAACCCCTAAACCCTAAACCCTAAACCCTTAACCCCTAAACCCTAAACCCTTAACCCCTAAACCCTTAACCCCTAAACCCTTAACCCCTAAGCCCTAGACCCGAAGGTGTGGGTGAGAACAGCGTGAGGCTCCTCGCCTCGTGCACCGATCGAGAGTTCTCAGAAACAGTCAAGGAGTCTTTGTCATAGTTGGGTTACTTTTTGCATTGTTGTGGGGTATTATCAAACTCATTATTCATATTTATGGGTACTATCAAACTCATTAATTATTCATAGTGAAAAGACATGTAGATTGTTTAGAGAATTATCCCAAAACCACGAACCAGGAATGCCTGGGCCGAGAGTTGGGCCTGGGAGAGGCCGTGAAAGCCTCCTCCGCACTGACCTCGGCTTCCCGGGCTTCAACGATCGCTTCCGAGGCTTTCGACTCAAGCCCTTCGGGCGAGGCCTCCATGGCCTGAACCGACGCAAGAACCGGAAGAGACATGTAAGCTGAATGCATCCATAGAGTTTTGAGAACAAACCTCAGCCGTGGCCGAGGCTGGTCTGAGGTTTTCGGCAGGGTTTGTTCAGGGGTGGGATGCCTATGAGGCCCCAGAAGGTTTCACGGCCGAATTGAGCAGACAAGCGCCTAGCGCATGTCGAGTCTTTATAAGTTGACCTCAAGCTCTTTGGAGTCCTAGGTAGAGGGTGGAGATGCTCATACAACGAACGAAGACCCAGGGCCCTCCGACATGAATCTTCGTGCCGCAAGTGCGTTTGCAAGCCTGTCCTGCTACCGAAGGTCCCACCCTCTCGGAGTTTGCCCTTATGTCGCGAAAGTTTCACCTGCTCAAAGCTCTGATACCTTGTCCATTTAGGAGGTAGGCGGAGTGTTTTTGCAGAGTCCAGTTTCAGTGCTATGCAGGCAGCTTGGTCATGGGTCAGAGCAAATCCATCTGTTGCAACGTTCACCTGCGAAGCGTCAGCTTGCAAGCGAAAATTGGTGTGTGTGTGTGTGTGCACCGATATCTAGATCTACAGGTGTGAATGTAGATAAGCCTAAATAATTACATAGAACATAAATGATTACATAAGTAGCTGAGTCAATAAGTATGTGTATATATATATATATAGAAATCTAGTTATAGTCGGTGTACGTGTATGCATTTATACGTGTATGTGTGTATGCAAATACAGGTAGATAGATAGACAGATAGATAGATAGATAGAGAGATAGAGAGATAGAGAGACAGACTGATAGAGAGATAGAGACATAGAGACATAGAGACATAGAGAGATGGAGATACAGGCGTAGATAGAAAGCAGAATCCTTGACTTGAGAGGGCAGCGAGTCTCAAACCACGGGAGGAGGTAGGCATACTCAGGGTACGTTCCTGACGGTTTAGGGTTTAGGGTTCAGGTTTAGGGTCTAGGGTTTAGGGTTTAGGCTAGGTAGCTACGGGTTCCCTGCAGATGGAAGCGACTCTGACCACGAGAGCCCATCACTACATAAGGGCTCGAGAAAGAGGGGGAAAGTAGGAGTATAGTTGGGGTTGTAAGTCCCTGATAAAGTAGGCTTGTCCTAGAATATAGCCTTACTTATAACCTTACTTGCTACATCCCTTGGGCCCTTAAGCAGGAGCGTCTTCACCAAGAGAACGAGTTGAATACTAGATCCCAAAGCGCCAACATCTCGAAGCCTGAAGCCTGAGTGTGAACCGAATTTCAACCCAACGCCTTGAACCCCTAAACCCCAGAAGCCTACAAATAGCCGCGACCTAAACCCGAAACCTGCGACCCCACAAACCCGATAACTCGCACCCTAGACCTTGAACCGGAAGCCGTACAGACCCTACAAGCCCTACAAGCCCTACAGAAACCAACGACTCCTGAACCCGAAGCCCTGAACCCTAAGCCCTTGAATCCCAAGAAGCACCACAGGCCCTGAGCGGTGATCGGAGCAACGAACCTTGACCAGAAAGCCTTGCCTTCGGGGGTGTAGGGTTTGGGGGTTATGTGCTTTCGGTTTTAGGTTTGAGGGCTGAGAGAAGCCCCAACCCCTAAGCCCTAAACC